AACGCGGGCAGCGTGTGCGGTGGTGTGGAGGCCGAACGCGAGAGTATTTCCGTGGCACTCACCCGGCGGTGTCTCTGCTGTGTGAAGAATATGTAGAAAAGCCCCTGAAGCTAGTGCTGAAAGTCGGAGGAAGCGAAGTTGCCGAACTCTCAACTGGAAATGCGGGACTGGATTCTTACGATGACAAATCCGAACATGAAAAACACAAAGACAGAAAAAGGAAAAAGAGGAAGAAAGGAGAAAAACAAGTTCCTGAAGAAAAGGAGAAAAGAAAGAGAAAAGTTAAGGTATGTACTGATGCTAGTGCATTTTAGCAAAAAAATAAAAAAAAACCTTCAATTTTCTTTAGTTTTCACATCAAAAGGTGAGCAGATGTCACTGTAATTTGTATCTCTAAATGGGAATACATTCAAACTCAGTGTGTTAGTTTTGCCGATGCCTTTTCTTCAGGTACTTTTACTAGAAAAAGGAGAATGAAGTAATCTGAAATTTCTCATCTTTCAAAACATTGGCAAGCATAAGAGCACAGAAAATTAAAAAAGGAGAGAAAAATTCTGTGTCTAAATAAATACATTTATATAAAACAGAATTAAGACTTTACAAGTTTTTAATTAAAAAGAAAAAAATAATTTCCCTCTTGGCAGTTCTTAATGTGATAAGTAATCATAACACATTTGTTTGAAGCACTTTAGTTTTCCTTACTATTTCTTACTAGTTTTTCTAAAACCTTCAAAAATCATCTTAGGATCTTCACTGGAGACAGTTCTCTGGGCAGGTAACAGTGCAGAGACATTTCTGTCAGCATGCTATAAGTGGCTGTCTGTCACATTTTAAAAAATAATTCTGATACATTGCATTGTATAGCTGAATTAGTTTATTGTCCAGCAGATGGAGACAGTACCTAAAGAGTACAAAGTTTTTAAAGGCTTACAAACTACTATCTTTTTTAAAACTATGTGTGGTTGTTTTGAAAAATCCAGAGAGAATTATGTACAGTAACAGTGCTGGTTTTGCAGGTTCTCGTAAGTTTCTACAACAAGCTTTCTCTTTCTAGGAGGATAAAAGGAAACGAGATCGAGACCATGCGGACAGTGAGGGAGAACAGGAAATGAAATGTCAGACCCCCATCAGACTGGAATTGCCACCAGAGAAACCATTAACAAGTACTTTATCAAAACAGGAAGGTAGGAAAACAGTATTCTTTTGCTAATTCTAGTTTTGTTTAATTGACTCACATTTTATTGTTTTGTTTTTTTTTAATCTCAAGTGACTTGACATTTTTTACCATCCCAGGGTTTTTCCCTGTCTCACAGAAATATTTGAAATTATGTTCCTGTATACTTCTTTTGCAGGATGGTACCTGATAACTATGTCAGAGTGAGCAGAATGTCAAGTGAGGCCAATGAGAAAAGTAGATCCCCTATATATGTCGTGGGTTTTGCCATTGTATTCTTTGAATTTATGATGAATTTTCATGTTGCATCAGTTTTGTTCAGTTAATTTCTAATATCTTGGAAGTTTAGTCCCTCTTGCAGTCAGTTTGTTCACACCTTTTCTCCCCCCTACTTCTTTTTGGTCTAGAGGTGGAGCAGACACCACTGCAGGAAGCTCTGAATCAACTCATGAGACAGCTGCAGAGGTAAATGTCTGTGCTATAGGCTTTCAGAGCTATGAAATTAAAATAACATACATTAAGGGAAGAGGCATATAAAGAGCTGAGTGAAAATATTGTTGCTAAATATATTGCTGCTATTTTAGGAATTTAAATACTAGTTTAAGAATGCATACTTATAACTTGTCTGCAGCTTAGGCGTCTTGTAAACACCTCCAGTTTCGAGTTTAATGTACTTTTAAAAAACTTTAAGAAATAGGACAATTTTCCAATAATGAGATGCTTTCATTACAAGAACCTTTTTTCCGAGAGGCACAAGAGTGTGGAACGAACTTGCCAAAACTTATTTTACCTTGAGTTCTCCTATTCTATTGTTAGCATTATTTACCCTAAAAAGGAAGTACACACTTGAAAACTTAAACCATATTCTCTTACTGTTTATTAACCAAATGTCTTTTGATTAAAACAATCAGATTTGCAGAATTTGCAGTTCTTTCAAGTGGTCAGTGGTTTACAGTATTCTTTCTTGACTTTATGAAAATCAGTAGAAGAGTGGTTGAAAGATGGAATGGAGTTAGCATTATTTACCATAAAAAGGAAGTACACACTTGAAAACTTAAACCATATTCTCTTACTGTTTATTAACCAAATATCTTTTGATTAAAACAATCAGATTTGCAGAATTTGCAGTTCTTTCAAGTGGTCAGTGGTTTACAGTATTCTTTCTTGACTTTATGAAAATCAGTAGAAGAGTGGTTGAAAGATGGAATGGACTAGATGATCTTTCGAGGTCCCTTCCAATCTCTAACATTCTGTGATTCTGTGATCTTTCTCTGTCTCACCAGATTAAGCTTGCAGCTTTGTTCATGAGTTTTCTGTTAATCCTAAATTTTTAAGACCTTGGTGTCTACCAACCATCAAAGTGTGTGTGGTTTTTTTTGGCTACCTTTGCACGCACACAGAAAGCAGAATCCGCTTTTGCTTTTGAATCCTGCCTCTCAGTTGGAAGCCATTGTGCAAGTGTTCCACAGGTGTTGCAGAATATGTGCACATAATCATAAATACACACCTTCTATCACAACTTTTAGCAACAAGCTTTCCCTCTGTTAATTTCAGAGTAAGTGATGAATGACAAGTGAATATTCTTATGACATTTGTTCCCTTTGTTTTTCAGTGACTTAATTATTATAAAACCACTTTTCAAAAAGCCAAAACCTTAAATAAAAAAAAAAAAGGTAGGGTTTTTTTTTGGTCTTCTTGGGAACACAACAAGTTATGAAAATGTAGAAGGAACTTAAAAAATATGTTTGTAGCACTTCTTTTGTATATGGGTTTGGATATGGGATCTTGTCAACCTTCAAAAATGAAAGATTCTGCTGATGCAAGCCACTTCTAGCTTTATGTTTTTGATTCCTTTTCAACTTAGTCCTTTCCTTTCTGTTTAATTCCAAGTTCAATATGTTCTTTATTATAAGTTGAAACATAAAAACCTGTCTTTTCATTTCTTAACAGAAAAGATCCAAGTTCTTTCTTTTCATTTCCTGTGACTGACTTTATTGCCCCTGGCTATTCCATGATCATTAAAAACCCAATGGATTTTAGTACCATGAAAGAGAAGATCAAGAACAATGGGTACCAGTCCATAGAAGAATTAAAGGTAATTCTGTAGATTTTGTTTTGACTACAATGAAGTGTTATGCTGCATTGACTTGAGCTCTAGTATTTCAGGAGAATATGAAGATGCAAAAGAACCAGTACTTCTGCCTGAAGAAATGTTTTTTGTTGAACTTTTGTGAGCCAATAAGTGCTGGAAGTGAAAGAGAAAACACTTCTGGTTTGTTGCCATTCCTGGCATCTCAAAAAGATGTGGATGCTTTCAGGTTTTATGCAGGATTAAAGAGAACCTGTCAGTTTGTCCTTCAGTGTGTCATTTTACATCTTTACTTAACAATGAAAACATTAGCATTTCTGTCAGGCTGCTCTCTTTTTTTGAATGTATTGCCTCTCAGAAAACAAGTCTGGAGGATTTGTTGGCTTTGCCTGTTAGGAGTTCATCATTTGCCTCCTGTCACCTCTGTGCTAGCCAGACTCACCTAGTTATGTAGATCCACAGCTGGTGAAGGCAAGATGAGCTCAGTTCTGTGGCAGCAACCTCTTAACCCCATGCTGTAGCGTGAAGAGTGGATTTGAAGGCCCCTAAAGGTTTTACAAGTTATGAGGGCTCATTTAGTTTTGTTTTCTTCAGTGGAAATACTTTCTAGTTCTTTACTGGGCTAAATGTGTGTAGTTAACAATTGAACATAGGCAGATGTTAGTTAATAGTATTGGTTGTATTATTTTACACATTCTTCTTTAAAGCTCCAAAACTTAAGAATATTCCCTGTTGTCTCAGCTGTTTCTGGTTAGTTTTTCATTTTAACTTTTTGTCTTTGTAAATAGCTGAGAAAGTGATAAAACATACCTACCTGTAGAGGTATGCAGTGAGCATAGAAGTGAAGTTTCCAGCTCAGTCATTCAAGACATGAACTTCAAACAAGCATACGTTTCTTTTCTTCATTGTAACTGAAACTTTGTCATATTCCTTATAACGATTTAACTTTGAATTGCAGCTTTTCTGTTTTTAAAGCTAGCTTTATTGTCTTTTCTACATTGCTTCACTTTGTTTTAATGACTGCTGATTGGTCAGGGTAGTGGGTAATTTTAGCTAAGGTTAAAACTTTAAAAACTACAAACAATACCGAACACTTAAGAATACTTTCAAAATTATTATTGGGGTGCTAGTTTTGAGGCTTGAATCTAATTTACATACTTATTTCTGTTTAAATTTTTAATGAAATTGATTTCTTAAATTTATTAATTTAAAATGTTCTTTGAAGTTTTTTTTTCCCTAAAGCTCAAGACACTGCATTTGCAACAATGCAGTATACTATAAAATTTTAACTGTCATTCCAAAATTATTAATGTCTGTGCAGGATAACTTCAAACTGATGTGTACTAATGCAATGATTTACAACAAACCAGACACCATTTACTACAAAGCTGCAAAAAAACTGCTGCACTCAGGGATGAAGATACTTAGCCAGGTAATAGAAAATACAAAACAAAATATTAAAAAAATCGCTTCTTCCTTTTTGATCCTCTTTCATTCCACTTTTCTTACAGGGATCTCATGAAAATTAATAAAAACTTGCTTAGTATTTTTCAAATGCTTGCATATTGGAATTTAAATAGTACATTGTTGCAAGACTCATGCTTTCATACTGCTACCAGATCAGTTATTGAAGAAATATTTGCATTTAGTATTTCATTTTCTAAACTGCCTCTTGCTCGTGTAAGAAGGAAAGAACTGAAATAAAATCATCCTCTCTGGATAGGTTAGGAAAAGACTCGCTAAAGTAGCAAATAAAAGGATTATGGTGTTTTTTAGGAGAGGATTCAGAGCCTGAAACAAAGTATAGAATTCATGGCTGACCTGCAGAAGACAAGGAAGCAGAAGGACAAGACAGAACTGGAGCAAACTGGGGAAGATGAAAACGGTCTTGGGAAGGACAAAGGAGAACCTGTGGATGGTGACACCAAAGCATTCAAAACACCAGGCAAAGAACACAAAAAGTGAAGTATTAGCTCAATAACAATGACAGGATACACCCTTTAAGTGCAACTGAAATAAGATGACTTTTAGGGACCAGCGGATGTGGGTTTCTCTCTTTCTGGTACTGCATATACACTAAGACTTCTTCATCTCAAGGGAGCATCATTTATGTAAAGCATCCTCGTATACCAAAAATATGTTTAGAATCTTTTATGATACCATTGGTTTTTATGTAGGTAACCCTGTACTGCTCATCAACTCCATTCCTTAAATTATTTTCTATTTTAGTGTCTATTTCACATAAGTACTATTGTTTTGGAGAAAGCTTGCGAACATAACCTTTTCAACATTTTGGTACACATAACTGTAAAGCCAATTTCAAGTACCACTTTTTTTTTTGCTTTGTAATTGCATTTGAAATGTGTACATGCATAGCTACGGAACATATACTTCCTGAAATATCTTTTAATATCTATACGTTGTCCTTATCCTTACAATGTTCTGAAATACTAGTGACTTTATCTTCAGATTTGAAAATGCAGATGCTGAAATTCAGAGTATCTAGTATTTTGTTTTACCAAAAATGTCCTTGTTAGGTTTGTGGGAGTGATGACATAAAATCTGCCAGCATGCTAAACTAGGACATCAGCATGGCTGCAGTAAGCTAAACACAGAGACCTTTACAGTTACTAACATAAAAAAGCATTTGCTGATATAAATCTTTGTCACATGTTTTCCCCAGCTATAGTAAATACAGGAGTATCAAATGGGGTTTTTTTGTCAGTTGTTTTGTCTACAAAACCAGTTTGCATAGTTGGCAAAAACAGTTTCTTCACTGTATCCTTTCATGATTTTTAGCCAGATGGTGTCTGTTAAATCTGTCTGTTAAATAGCTGGTGACTAAGTTGTGTGGGTTTTGTTCACAGGAAGGACAAAGATCTACTTGAAGACAAATTATGCAGTAACAGCTTGGAAAGGGAACAAGAGCAGATTGATCGTATTGTTAGAGAATCTGGAGGAAAGTTAACAAGACGCCTTGCAAACAGCCAGGTAAATCTTTGTGTGTTTGTATCCTTTCACTTTTTCATAAGCCACGTTTACTTGGCATCTTATGTCAGTTGACTCCAGGCATGCTTTCACTACAGTTTACACCATTTTACACAACTCATCATCTGTGAAACGTGGTAAGATTAAAAAAAGGCCTATCAGCTGAATGCATGCTGAATTTCATCAGCAGAGTAAGTTTAGCTAATATTTTCAGAAAATTTAGCTAAAGTAATAGAAAGGGATGAATAGTAGGAGTCTCAAGAAAATATCTTAGATCTGACCTGCAAAAAACCCTGTAGTTCTGAAATGGCCACCTATCCGATCAAAGGTTATTAGGAGAAGGAACCCGGTTTGGTTGATACTGGGGCCATTTAATTTTCTACATGACAATGCCAATAAGAAAGTTAACAGGGGAAATAAAAAACAGCATCACTCCCTTCTGAGTCTGATCTTTCCAAATACCTTTCTGATTCCTATGGATAGGACAGCTTCATTGGATGTTTTTGTTAGTTTAAGGACCTTGGATTTCAACTAATATGTAGGTTAAAATAGTCTGATCTGATTTCAGTGTGAATTTGAAAGAAGAAAACCCGATGGTACTACAACTCTGGGCCTTCTCAATCCGGTTGACCTTACTGCAGGAGGTAAGGTGGCGCGGGCCAGGTAACAAGCCACTTTCACCTACCTGGTGTGCTGCTTTTGTGCTGGGCAGATCAGCAAATGCTGGTCCAGAACCAAGTGCTTCTTTACAGTCTGATAAAGATCTGGATTAAAGATCAGATCCTCTTTAATGATGCAGCCTCTGTTTGGGGAGGACAGGAAGGAGGAAGACTGATAGTGAAAACATTTAGGTTCAAACTTACATACTTAACTGGTGTTCCCACTTAAATTGGTCTGGGTTCATGTTTAAGACTATACACAGTCTTTAGTGTGAAGCATTTGGAGAGGAAAACACACTTTGAGAGTCATATCCTGCTTATTCTGAAGTTTCTGGCTACAAGTATTAAATGAGTTTGGATATCTTCCTATGACACTTAGCCATGCCTTCATGATTTCTGTATTTGGATATATCCTATTGCAGAACCAGGTTACTGCCCTGTAAAGCTGGGTATGACAGCAGGAAGACTTCAGTCGGGAGTTAATACATTACAAGGGTTCAAAGAAGATAAAAGAAACAAGGTTACTCCAGGCAAGTGCTGATTTTTAATTTTTTTTGATGTAAATTTTCCTCCTCACATAACAAAGTATGTTGATCTCATTATTAGCACAAAAAGAGTTTGGAACTAAGTTTTTTTTTAAATTAGAAAGAACATTATTGCATATATCTATCACACAGCTAAACAGCACACCACAACATCTAGCTTAATTTACATGTACAAAAGGGGAGGCATATTTAACAAAATGCTCATCTACATTGAGAAGAGGAAGTGTACCAGATAGCTAAAGGTTTTTGTTACCTTTGAAAGAGCATAGCAGGGAGCCTGAGAACCATTACCTGCACCAGACAGAATTTTCTTATTGTGTTAAGGCATACAGTATTGTTAATAAACGTTTGTAAATAAAAATGCATGTGATGGAGATGTTACAGTGTGAGCAGATGGTATTCTTTGAAAGCTTGTTTTCACCATAAGAAATATGTTCCTAAAAGTTTATTTTGGGGGATAGTTTTACTACCCCATCTCATTTTTATCGGATACACACATATCAGAGGTAATAATTAGTCCTGGTGTTATTCCTTAGTGACGTACTTGAATTACGGACCCTATAGTTCCTATGCTCCGACGTACGATTCTACATTTGCCAACATAAGCAAAGAAGATTCTGACTTAATCTATTCAACATACGGGGAAGACTCTAATCAAGGATCTTTCAGGTAATCAAACAACGAGAATGCGTGTTACAGCTTTCACTACAGAAGCAGCTACATGCAACTCCCCGCAGCATGGGCTGTGTCTTTGCTGCTGAATGGTGTCACTGCTGTCTGTATAGCCTGCTGGGGTCTGTTTGTTTTAAGAACCAAATACTTTAATAAGAGCATTGGCCTGTAAAGTGGAATTAGCAAAGATTGAAGGATGTTGATCCTGCTGATACATAGGGACACACAGTCTAAAATTTAAGTATATTTATGACTAACCCTGATGGACTTATGTTCAAAGCCAGGAAGATGTTGAATGGTCCGAATGTTTATAGAAATTGAATTTTTTTACGTTAATGAACTTAATTACTGCCTTGAGTGAGATGCATCTTTGTTAATGTCAAATACTGACAAAACTACTGTGGTCATAGTGGGAGAGCTGAGTCCAGAGACAGTGATTTCTAATTTCATTCCTAAATAGTGTGTATACTATACTGCTTGATTTTCATATTATTTGCTATAGTAAAAATAATTAATTCTCACTTATTATTCTTGATTATAAAAACTTCACAGTTGAAGTCCTTTTGTGTTATCAGAATCTCAAAAATAAATTACACAATGGTATAAATTCATA